GAAAGGAGAATGTTAGCCGCTTTGAGACTCCTTCAGACATCCAAACTCTTCCTCCTCCTCCTCCTCCTCCTCCTCCTCCTCCTCCTCCTCCTCTTCTTCTTCTTCTTCTTCTTCTTCTTCTTCTTCTTCTTCTAGACCAACCTTCCCTAACCTGAAGCCCTCCATCCAACACGGAGGGGGGGTCCTCATTGCTTGCGCATGATGTCACATGTGTGATGTTACTGTTGGGATACTGCCAGGGAGACAAAGTCCATCATGCCCCAACGCCGATGCCGGACGTCAAAGACTCTTCCGCGGCATCGAAAAGTCTTACTTTTCTGCACATACCTTCACAGTCTCTTTCGCAGTCTTACTCTCCTGTAAGTGCCATGAATCTGGGCCCATAACCTGTTGTTGGGATACTGCCAGGGGGACATGTGCCATGAAGCCCCCACGCCGTCTCCAGACGATCCATTGATCTCTCATAGAAACGCAGTATCAGTCAATTAGCGACAGGAGCCCCAGAAATAGCTTGCCACATTCCAGAGCTCGTGCACGCTCTGTCAGCAGATACGTACAGCAAAAGGTGCGCTCAGGAGAGCATATTTACAAGTTTATTCAGCGTTGGTCAGAACAAAGAAAAACATGACTGCCTGCATTGATGTCTCAGGCACAGAGAGAAAACGAAAGCAGAAACAAACAGAAACTTCCTGTGAACAGGAAATACGCAGACTCTGTGACTCACAAAGCCTGCTCCCTTTTAAGGTGGAACGGAAATATCCTAACAGTTACATGTGTCAGGAGGAGGCTGTGAGGCCCTCAATATTTTTTTGAGAGGGGGCTCAGTCCTGTCACCACATATTTGGGGGGTGGGTAGGCTGCGTTGTCCTCAGCTCCATAGAGTTGGTGCCTATGCCCCCTTCTGTTGCTGATGTTGCTGGACTACAACTCCCATCAAACCTGATCATTGGCCTTACCGGCTGAGGCTGATGAGAGCTGGCGTGCAGCAGGCTAAGGAAGGCTAAGCTATGCAGATGAACAGCATGGCTTTGCAGAAGTCAGGTCCAGCCAGTGCAGTGCAGTTGTGATGGAGATGGAAACTTTGACCTTCCAGGTGCTGTTGGACTCCAACTTCCATTAACCTCAGTAAGCACAATTAGTCATTAGGGATTATGGGATAATCATAATCATAACAATTTATACCCCGCCCATTTGGCTGGGTTTCCCCAGCCACTCTGGGCGGCTTCCAACAAAAGATTAAAAAATACATTAAAACATCAGTCATTAAAAACTTCCAAGAGATCTGGACAAGATGTGGCAGGAATGCTATTCAACAGAACAGGGGCAGTCATACTAAGAACGCTGCTCTGAGTTACTGCAGAGCGGGCTTCTGCAATATTTGGAACTTTGGCGAGAAACTCTTCCACAGACTGGAGCGATCCACTGGGTATACAGTGGTACCTCAGGTTAAGTACTTAATTCGTTCCGGAGGTCTGTTCTTAACCTGAAACTGTTCTTAACCTGAAGCACCACTTTAGCTAATGGGGCCTCCTGCTGCTGCTGCGCCGCTGGAGCACAATTTCTGTTCTTATTCTGAAGCAAAGTTCTTAACCTGAAGCACTATTTCTGGGTTAGCGGAGTCTGTAACCTGAAGCGTATGTAACCTGAAGCGTATGTAACCCGAGGTACCAATGTATTAAGGATAAGACAATCCATAGCTCCTGAATTGTATAGGGCCTTATATGTTAATGTCAACTCCTTGAACTTGGTGCAGTAACAGATTGGCAGCTTGTGGAAACAACCTAAGCAGGGTGCTATATGCTGGGAGTAGTTTGCACCCAAAGGCAACCCACTAGCTGCAGCCTCTGGACCAGCCTCGAAGATACAGTTCATTACAGTAATTCAGCCATCGGACTACCCATGCACGGTCAAGCTATCCCGATCCAGGAATGGCCATAACTGTGTTGCCAACAGAAGTTTCATTTACATTCTTTGTTCAACAGAAACTGTCTTTCCTAAGCCAGCCATTTGGGAAATGGATGGCAAAACAGTGGCTTTCTTGGGTTTGTAAATCCACTGCCCCATTTGAGACACACACTGACCTGTGGCTGGTTTACTGCAGGTTCTTGAGTGCCTCTCCTGTAAACTAATCTACTCAACTCCAGCCCTCTCGCTTTGATTGAATTAAGCATTTAATCCGGTTATCCATGTGATCACCAAGAGAAGCATCACACTGCAGCTAAAGCAGGATACAGCTTTTTCAATACCTATGACTCAATGAGAAGTGAGAGCTGGACCATAAAGAAGGCTGATCGCCGAAGAATTGATGCTTTTGAATTATGGTGCTGGAGGAGACTCTTGAGAGTCCCATGGACTGCAAGAAGATCAAACGCATCCATTCTTAAGGAAATTAGCCCTGAGTGCTCACTGAAAGGACAGATCGTGAAGCTGAGGCTCCAGTATTTTGGCCACCTCATGAGAAGAGAAGACTCCCTGGAAAAGTCCCTGATGTTGGGAAAGATGGAGGGCACAAGGAGAAGGGGACGACAGAGGACGAGATGGTTGGACAGTGTTCTTGAAGCTACAAACATGAGTTTGACCAAACTGCGGGAGGCAGTGGAAGACAGGAGTGCCTGGCGTGCTCTGGTCCATGGGGTCACAAAGAGTCGGACACGACTAAACGACTAAACAACAACAACAACAACATGTCTCAATAGCCATAATCCTCTTTTTGTTAGCCAGGATATCTCCACCAGAGATTGTGTGCTTCTAGTCACAGAGCTGGCTGACTCTGCTAATTATGCAGAATTCAGCCAATTATTATCTAATAATGCACAGCACCGAAGCAGTCCATGTCTTCTCAGCCCTGCCTGGCGATGCTGTGCCAATGAGCTACAGCATTTGAGATAAGATGCCTACGTCTACCTAGTTTGATCAAATAAGTCTTTGTCACTCATTACTTTTTTTATAACAGGGGTAGAGTGGGGAGCCTGTGGCTGTCTCTACAATGTTGGACTGCAGCTGTGATCATCCCGCAGCACTGAGCATACTGGCTGGGGTCAATGGGAGTTGGAACGCAGGGATATCTGGAGGGCCACAGGTTCCCCAACCCTGTTTCTGAAGTTGCTTCATGGTAACACAGTAAATCTAAATTATGCAAATTTGCAAACATTTTCATACTTGCATAATTTATTCTGATTCAAGGGAGAGTTCATGAGTTTTGCAGAGCCTTGAAAGGCGTGTGCTCTTTCTGCTTGAAATCGTGTTGAGCTCCACTGTGACTCTGGAGAATAGCAAAATAAAATAAAATAAAATAAAATTTCCCCCCACATTCGAAAGCATACCTTGTAGGGCACTAAGGGCTAGAAACTTGCATTTGAAAAAAGACAAATAAACCCAAAGCCTTGGGCCCTGGCATAAGAAAAACTTTCATCCCCTGCCCACACTACAAATCTGCACAAATGCTAGTGTAGCCTTCTTTAAGTTTGGGTCTGGGTCCAGTCACCTCGTACCCTCGCCAGGAGCATGAAGGAGTCAAGCAACGCCAGGGTGTGATTCCACAGAGAAAAAGTTTATTCGGTTACTGCGCAGCAGGTACCAGTGGAATCGCTTCCAAAGTCTGGCACACACATACAGGTCATGCAAAGCCTTTTATACATTGGTTTCCCTGCCCTGTTCAGCCCCCTGAGCCTATCCCATTCATGTGTCCAGCCCCCCATGTACTGACTGTGCTCGTGCCCAAGTCATGTACACCGCATGCTCAGGGTGTGCTTATCAGCAGGGAAGCTCGTGACTGCAGTTAGTACTGTGTATGTGCGGAGCGTGATCACCGCCTGTGCTTACTTGGGCCTGTCTCATCAGGGCTGTTGTGATAAGATAAGAACAGGGCCTCTTTCTCCTTCACTAGTGAGCATATTGGTATTGAGCATGGTAGAGTGTAGGTATTGAGTTTGGTATTCTCAGTAGCAGAGCACATTCTTTTCATTCCAAAGTACCTGGGCTCAACCTCTGACATTATAATAATATATAATATTAATAATAATTTATTATTTACACCTCGCCCATCTGGCTGAGTTTCCCCAGCCACTCTGGGTGGCTCCCAATCGAGTGTTAAAAACAATGCAGCATTAAATATTAAAAACTTCCCTAAACAGGACTGCCTTCAGATGTCAGGATAGCTGCTTATTTCCTTCACATCTGAAGGGAGGGCATTCCACAGGGCGGGTGCCACTACCAAGAAGGCCCTCTGTCTGGTTCCCTGTAACCTCACTTCTCGCAGTGAGGGAACTGCCAGAAGGCCCTTGGCACTGGATCTCAGTGTCCAGGCTGAACGATGGGGATGGAGACACTCCTTGTTCCCCTCTTCTGTCAAACATCATGCAGTGAGTTTCTTTAATTGTAGACAGTAGAGTGTGCATGCACATGAAAGCTCATACCAATAAGTAACTTAATTGGTCTCTAAGGTGCTACTGGAAGGAATTTTTTAATTTAATTTAATTTTGTTTTGTTTTGACTACGGCAGACCAACACGGCTACCTACTTGTAAATAGAAAGCTGTTTATCAATTTACCTGTCTCTACTGAGTGCTGGGCAGAGAGCAGAAACCATTGGGGCACAGCTAGATATAAGATAGAATCTGGGTGTGATGCGCAGAGAGATGGGGGAATCTCAGTTTTGGGTTCTCTCACTTTCTCTTTTCCCCAATCTTCAGTTATCCACATTTCCACATCAGTGCACGATTTATTTATTTTCACAGTGTTCATGCCAATGCACCAGAATTTTAGTGCAAATTTGTTTCGGAACAGAATCATAGATTTGGAAGGGACCAGAAGGGTCATCTAGTCCAGTGTTTCCCAACCTTGGGCCTCCAGCTGTTTTTGAACTACAATTCCCATCATCCCTGACTGGTCTTGCTAGCTAGGGATGATGGGAGTTGTAGTCCAAAAACAGCTGGAGGCCCAAGGTTGGGAAACACTGATCTAGTCCAACCCTCTGCAATGCAGAAATCCTGCCCACAGCTATCCCTGGTTGGGCTTAAACCACCAATCTTCTGGTTAACAACCAGACACACTGACCCATTGCACCACCTGAAGGGGAAGAAATGTCTCAGGATATAAGTCAAATTCAGAACAACAGAAGACAGGAAATAGCACGTACAACCTCTAGATATGGCCTCTCTCTGTATTTAAATGATGCAAATAGCTCCACCTGTTAAAATGTCAAAGCTGTTACTGGACATGCATAGTATCAGTATGGTTTTTCCAGCAGCAGAAAAAGGCTTTTTTTTAAGAGAGAGAGATGCATGTTTACCAGTCTCTCATATATAGAATAAGCAAACAAACCTCTTTCATAAAAGAGGACCTCTCCAACTTCTGTGTTGCTGACACTAGCACTACTCCTAGCAACAAACTATTCTGATCACTACAATACTTGTTTGCACCCAAAGAGGAGGCAAACACGGCGTGTTGTTTATTAAGTGTTACTGTAATGAAAACACGTTGCATGGTTGGGTGAACTTCCATCAAACTTTGTTTAGTAGCAGAAAAGGAGAACTATTTCCTCAACCTCATGAATACCACCAGAGCCACTCCTTTCATACAGAGACTAATCTGGAAGCAAAGCTCTAAGCTGAATGATGTGTTATTAGTGTAAATCAGGTAAGTCCATCTTTAAAGGGAACTGAGTCTTAATTTCCCCCCCATCCCTAGATGTGGTTGAGTTGGGTGGGTGTTCCATATTGTGTGTCAGGAGGGTGTGCCTTGGCAAGGTGAAAAGGGACACAACGTCTCCTGAGACTGATGGATGCCAACTCAGTATAAGACAGCCTCCTATGTTTCTAAATAAAGCCAGGGCACGGGTATACCTCTAATGACTGTGTGGCCTGTGGAAGACATTTTGCAGATGCCATGTAGGTGCACCTGTGCCGAAGACACTCTCTTCTAAATAGCAAAGCAGCCCTGTGCCTTTTTGTATATCATCTCCCAAAGCATTATACAGTGGTACCTCGGGTTAAGTACTTAATTCGTTCCGGAGGTCTGTTCTTAACCTGAAACTGTTCTTAACCTGAAGCACCACTTTAGCTAATGGGGCCTCCTGCTGCTGCCGTGCCGCCGGAGCACGATTTCTGTTCTCATCCTGAAGCAAAGTTCTTAACCTGAAGCACTATTTCTGGGTTAGCGGAGTCTGTAACCTGAAGCGTATGTAACCTGAAGCGTATGTAACCCCAGGTACCACTGTACCAAGTCAGACTGTTGGTCCATCTAGCTCTGTATTACTGTGATGCTAGCTCAATAATTGTCCTGGCCAGGGGCAAAAAACAGCAACAAACCAAGCAGTTTCAAGTTCTTTTGGATCCCAATTAAATGGAGGGCAACAGACCATCAAGAAGCAGAAGGTGCCAACATAGACTTATAATACAAAGCAATGATAGGCAAAGATATAGTTATGAGGCAAAGCATCCCATTGAATCAGCTGCTGGAGATCCCGGTAGCAGCCAACAGTTCCCCACATAGAGTAGTTAGATGGTGCCAGGCGCTCTCGGAAAGCCCATAGCTGAGATCTCGTAAAGCTTCTGGAATTATATACAGTTCTGTGAGGCTTCATGCCAGCTCTCCTCCTTCCACTGTCCTGTGAGTCTGCAAAAGTTCATGTTGTCAGCTCTGAGGACGAGCCAAAGTTTGGCAATCTGCCAGTTCATGGCTAGTTCATTTTTATTTTTATACCGGTTTTCCTTGACTGACAGCCAGAGGACATAGTTAACCAAAATTCACAGTTTACAAACAGAAATTAACTAAGAAAGCAGGAGCGCCCCCTGCTGGCCATTCCCTGGCAATACAATTGTCCACACTGGCTGGCAGAGAGTCTCTCCCAGGCCTATTTGGAGATGCTGGGGACGGAACCTGAGAACAGATGCTCTAACACTGAGCTGCAACTTTCCCCCAAACAACCCAGACATTGCCTTCTACAATCTTTGCAGCCCTTGCTTCTCCCACTTGTTCCATTCAACACCCATGAGTCATACCAGCTCTCCATAGCAGATGAGCAAGTGTGGTAGATACCAGAAGCAGGGAGAGTACCAAGGAGCTATGGCTCCTTTAGAGTTAATAAATAATAATAATAATAATAATAATAATAATAATAATAATAATTTATACCCCACCCATCTGGCTGGGTTTCCCCAGCCACTCTGGGCAGCTCCCAACAAAATATTAAAAACATAATACAGCAATAAACATTAAAAAATTTCCCTAAACAGGGCTGCCTTCAGTTGTCGTTTAAAAGTAAGGTAGTTGCTTATTTCCTTGATATTTGATGGGAGAGCGTTCCACAGGGTCCACTACCGAGAAGGCCCTCTGCCTGGTTCCCTGTAGCCTCATTTCTTGCAGTGAGGGAACCGCCAGAAGGCCCTCAGAGCTGGACCTCAGTGAACTGATGGGGGGTGGAGATGCTCCTTCAGGTATACAGGATCAGGGCCGTTTAGAGCAGGCATAGGCAAACTCGGCCCTCCAGATGTTTTTGGCCTACAACTCCCATGATCCCTAGCTAACAGGACCAGTGGTCAGGGATGATTGGAATTGTAGTCTCAAAACATCTGGAGGGCTGAGTTTGCCTATGCCTGGTTTAGGGCTTTAAAGGTCAGCACCAACACTTTGAATTGTGCTCGGGAATGTACTGAGAGCCAATGTAGGTTTCTCAGGACCGGTGTTATATGGTATCGGCCACTCCCAGTCACCAGTCTAGCTGCCACATTCTGGATTAATTGCAGTTTCCAAGTCACCTTCAAAGGTAGCCCCACACAGAGCGCACATAGCCAAGAGCTGTGTAATAGCCTGCTGATTACAACATCCAGCATGCTCTGGCATGCTCCAGCACATGGCTAGATCAATCAAGGCATACAAAGTCTGTGTTGCATGACGCTCAAGACAGGTGGGTACCACACCCATAAGCTAGGGATGGGTGTACTCTGCACCTCAAAGATGCTGGCAGAACATTCTTGAGCAATTAGAGAGACCTCTGTTCAATGCTCAGGCATGGAGTTCAGGAGGGTTGGACATACAATCTACTGTGAATCAGATAGTTTGCAATATCAGATATGTGTAAATAGTTCTTCAGTCAGCACAAGCCATTGGGCTCCAGAAAATCATACTAGTTTTCTGGTTTGCTGCTTAAGGAGTGGTGATGTCACTGACCTTTGCCTGTAGAATAAGGTGCCACTCCCAACTCTGTGATTTTCTGGCCTGTGAACATGGTGCTTTTATGAGGGTCACAGGCCCAAAGGACAGGCCCTTGCCCCAAGGTGGGTGCCACTGAGAGGGAGCCAATCATAACAGAAGAAAAGGGAAAACAAATAAGAAGAGAGGCAAAACAAATAAAGTAATACAAGCAGATCTAGTGTATGTGCTCTTAGGTGTTGTCGTGAACAAATATGAAGGTGTGAACCAAATGTTTCACAGGAATCTGTTGAGGTAATGCATGTGAAGTACTCTGAAACGATTCTTCACACTCTCTTGCTCTCTTGCTCGCCGTTTTTTTTTAAAGACAGATTTTGAAAAGCAGGTCGGCTTCTTTAGCTTAAACACAGAGTAAACGCACCACCTGCTGGTAAGTTTGAGCTATGAAAATCTGGAGAAAGTCAGCAAGCTGGACTTCGTAACATAGGGAGTTGGCTGAAGCAACCCCAGTTCCTGTTTTCCTTATCGTGAAGCCATGGCTATCTGAGTACTTTTAAGATGAGCATTTAGCACAACCACACAAACCATTGGTTGTGTGAGGGTGGCACGAAGGTTTGCAATCTGTGCTCATGAAACTGGAGACAGCTGATATATTTCCTGGCCAACCTTTTGTGCAGCAACACAACAAGCATACATTCAGCAGGTGCACCCCTTGGCTCAGCGCCCTGATCCGGCGCTGAATGCAAGTTTCACAAGGACACCAAGGCAACTCCAGTTGCCTCCTTCCAGAGGAAACCAAACCTGCATCTCTGGAACTGTTCACTATTCAGAGGAGTAGTGCAGAGCGTTACTTTGGGAAAGGAATAGGAGCTCTTCAATAGACCAGTTGATGCATGCATTCACCACTAGATAGAGCCAGAAGATGGCTATACAAAACTCATGAAACTCAGAATGTAACATCAATCAATCAGAAAGAGGATGAGGGGAGGGGAACAGAGTCCAGAAATATCTCAAGTCAGGGAGGCAAGAACAGCAAACTTTTTCCAATGTCCTTAAAAAAAAAAAGAGCAAAATAACCTCACTTGAACTCAAGAAATTGCACATTGAAACAAACAGAGTACTTGTACGCCTCCTTCCTTCCATTTAACACTCCAGCTTAAATGGGAATTCTGTTTACTTTAATACCACTGAAAGGTCCATGCGCTGAGTCTCAGTCTTCTCCGGGAGCATCTAATAGGTGAAAATGCAATATGTGACAGCAAAGTGTGTTGCCATTCCAGGGCCAGGAAAATGCAAAGTGCAATGATGTCACATGATTACACTTACTCGAGATTGTGGGCAGAGAAACTGTTTTCAGCAGCCAGCTATGCATCTGTTGTAATATACAGTTCTGCCATGAAAACGTTCACTACCTTCATCAAAACAATATCCTCAGCTGAACCCAGACAAGGTGGGTCATGTCAGTTTCAAACAATAGGATCAAATGTGGGGAGTGGCACTTCAGCTACCCCAGTGCAGCCCAGAAAACTGGGCTTTTTAACATTAAAAATGATGATCTAGTGACATAGGAAGTTGCCTGAGTCAGACCCATTGGTCCATATAGCTCAGTATCATACAGAGTACTTGACTGGCAGCCGCTCTCCAATGTTTTCAGGCAGGGAGTCCTTTCCACACCTGCCTGGGTATGCCAGGGATTCAGGGCCAGCGCAGTCACTGTTCTCCAGGGTGGGAGTGGAGACAGAGAGAATAATAAAAATACAGTGGTACCTTGGGTTAAATACTTAATTCATTCCGGAGGTCCATTCTTAACCTGAAACTGTTCTTAACCTGAAGCACCCCTTTAGCTAATGGGGCCTCCTGCTGCTGCCGCGCCGCCGGAGCATGATTTCTGTTCTCATCCTGAAGCGAAGTTCTTAACCTGAA